ATTAGCAGCCATGGTGGCTTGATGTAAGACTTGGCAGGTTTGACTCAAGATTTTTGTGCTGCTTAAATGAAGCTAGCAGGTAATGCAAGCTATAAGGTAGCTGCAATTAAGAATCTCGAATCTTGAATTTAGCAATAAATTGCTTGTTTTAAGATAAAAATTCTTGAATTAAGCTGATTTTTTCTCAAGATTCCGAGACGGCTTGACCGTAGCAGACTTTTTTTTCCCAGTGTAGAGTTCAGACTATAGGAAAAATTGACAAGAAAAAAACTCTTGATTCAATCGGATTTTTGCTCGAATCAAAACGAAATCCGCTTAAATTAAGAGGCTTGGTTCTTGATTTAAGCTAGATTCTGATTGAATCAAGAGATGCTGGCTCTTTTGAGTGCACGGTAGAGGTGTGATGGAGTTCATCATCGGAAGATTGGGATTCGGGTGGATCCGTGATGACGTTGGGTGCGGGTGGAACGTTGACTTGGGGTTGAGCGTTAGAAACAACGGTTCTTTCTAGTTACACGTCACCATTTGGATCAATTTTTGTATTACGAGGGTGACGAAATGTGGACAAACAAAATTATCTATGAAACTTACGATAAGGATGCAACGCGTGACCATTATAGTCGAAAGCAGGCGCTTTTTTTTCGAAGTGATTGTTAACGAGGCAGTATTCATGATGTTGAATAGAAATCTAAAATGATCCTCAAAATATGATAATTGCGGATGCGTGATCATTATTGATTTACCTATTTTTGAGTCGACAGATCCAATCATCTTTTCCTCGAGGCAATTTTGCTATCACTTAGAGGATAATTTCTGCTTGATATTTTCATTAATGTCGGCGATCGATAGTCGCCCAAACATGAATTTTGTACCTCTATACGCCCATCGCTGAAAATATTACTCCTGATTTCTGAAGCAGAATCTTTTATACAGTGACGCTTTTAAAATAGAGTCAGGAAGAGGACTTTGTCGTCATTCTCGTGAAATCTACAAAAAATTGAACGAACGAATGAATATACTTACAGGCTGCGATATTGATAATTCATGAATGGGCGATGTAATATCAAGTAAAAAACAAGCTCATTTTGTTTTCCCCAGATTCTGAAGATGGTCTGCAGCCTACTTTATGTTCGGCAAGATTATTCAATTTTCTTGCGTGCAGTTTTTCTTGTGCTTCTTGAAAACCAATCCTAACCCCTTCACAGGTCCATTAGCATTATCTGGTCGAATTTCACGCACAATCTACCGCAGACTACCTTCTCTCAAACATTGTCAAAAGCTCTTAAGCAGCAACTTTCCCTATTCATGCAAGCCGAACAGGCGCTCCTTGCACAAATGAGCGGCTCGTGGAATGACTATTGTAATACGGTTCTCGCACCAATCATTTTTCTATTGTAATGCATTTCATCACTCCGACAATATGAATTATTCGGTCGCTAGCCTGATTTTTTTCGCTTCTTTCGATTTACACGCATTTTCCGGTAGTAATTTTATGAGAATAGACCGGCCAAACTTTCACTAAGCCTTGAAGTCAGCCGCACTGAAAAAAAAAAACACATTGTATCTAGGGTCCAGACTCTTAAAACATCGACAAGAAAAAGTACTCTTGATTTAATCAGAATCTAGCTGAAATCAAGAACTAAGTCTCTTAATTTAAGCAGATTTCGTTGTGATTCAAGCAAAAATCCGATTGAATTAAGAGTTTTTTTTCTTGTCAATGTTTTCAAGAGTCTGGACTCTAGATCCAATGTGTTTTTTTTCCAGCGCGTAAAATACACGGACTTAAAAAGCAGACATTTGACAAGATCATAATGGATTTACTCGAAAGCTCAAAAAGTTGATTGATCATGAATTTAGTAACCCGTTCCCTAAGTAAGCCCCACAAATTTTACATCTGAAAGTAAATACTATTTTTCTTTCTATTCGGGGACCATTTAAACCCACCTCTCCCCTACCCAACCTGAAAAGAGCAGGCGAAGCTGAGTGTAACTGACTTAACAATGGAAAGGAAGAAAAACCTCAATCCACTCGACGTAATGCAATTGAATGTATCGGAGTTTATTCACTAAAATCAAACTAAAGTAGGTCAGGTTAGCTTAGTGCGGAGCAGGGGAAAGTTGGGTGATGGATGATGCCTGAATAGGTTACGTTAGACTTCGGACGCTTCTTCGCCTATCATATTCGTACTTACAATTTATATCTTTTCTTTAATGATACCGTGAAGTTCCAGCAATAAAACCATGGGTCCGACTGTTACATGTCCATTTAACAGCTCCCTTGGTATCCTGAAAATTCACATTTGCGTACATTTGATCGGGGAAGAGGTAAACACAGATCGGAGGATTGTTACTTACGTGAGCCGGTGAAACGCAGCAAATAGCTGTAATTTGCGTTCGAAACATGGAACCAGAAGCAGAAAGGTATCTGAGGGAGTGGTGATCACGCTTCCTTGGAATCGTCATAATGGGCGAAATGACTTTGAATTAGCCTTAAACGGTTCGAGCTGCACTTCGCTGGCTCTTGCTGCATCAACAGTATCGAACACCTGTTTGAAAGACTAGGAGTCTGGTGCCTGCCCTAGGAGCGTTGGCAAAGTGGCTCATAAGCGACGACTGCATTTGTCCGCGTTTTACAAGAAGGAACCAATACAAGCGTATGATCAAGCGTCTCTGTGCGTCAGAGGATATCAGACGCAAGCATTGTTCCCGAAATTAGCTAATGACAGTGGTTTCCTCTCGTTGATCGTACAATTTAAACACGTATTTTCGCATTTCCTCCTCGAAGTTCTAGACCCAGCTCTATTACATATGAGACGGTTATTGTTCATGATTTGCATTTTCAACTTTCGTCAGGTGTAAACTTCGTGGGTTAAGATTTTTGCAAAAATGTTCCATCAGAATCAAAATTTTTGTAGATAACCAAAAAAAAAATTAGATCCGTCCAAACCGCAACTTTCTACGTTTAATATGAACGGAGATATCAGGCATAGATAAATTCGGTTTATGACATCATCCACCGCGGCAATGACACCCTTGGTTTCTTCCGCCTTACTTCCATCCAAGTTTCACGTTGAGTAACCATAGCATGTGTGCATCATTGACGAATGAAAGCAAGGTGGAAGAAACCAAGGATGTCACTACCACGGTGGGTGACGTCATGAACCGAACTTTTCAGAGCGCGATATCTCGGTTAATATTGAACGTAGAAAGTTGATCATTGGATGGATCTTATTATTTTTAGCTAATCTACAAGAATCTAGCATCCAAACACGATTCTGTGACCAGCGCAACAGACCCATTTCAACCCCTCATTTGTGGATATTCTTTCAGTCAAAGATCACGGAAAGAGGATCAGGGACCACCAAAGTATAGACTGATGACCCCGGTATTTTCAACAGTGGATAAAATGAAGACTGTGCATCAAGATTAGAAACAAGGAGAGATTTAGCAGTTGCTTCAAAGAAATTGAGAGAAAAGCCACCGTCAGATGTAACTACTAATGAGACTATTCACTGGTACTGATTAAAGCATTTATGGTGCAAATAATTATGGACCCACGCAATTTTCTGGAAGCGCTGATTGAAATTTTGGTCCAATTTTTGAAACGCCTTAATCTTGACCGTCCAGTTGCAGAGTCGAGAACAATTTGCACCCCTGGACTCATTACCTAGACTACGCGGAATTTAAAATTGGTTTCCCTTTTCTACCCAAAATAGTATGTAGAAGATAGTGCTAATGCTTCATGCTGTTCGTAGATCAAATTGCATATCTTCCGTAAGTTTCTAAGATCTTCCACCGATTTCAGGAAGTGGACTGGAGGACCAGTTTTAGCGATTAACTCTTTTGCGGTAGCTTCAGTGAAGAAAGGCAAATCGGAGAACTCAACTTCTGCGTCTCAAGATAAGATAAATATCAAAATTACATTTTATTTTTCGTTGCTGAGTACTCCAGAAGATTGGAAGTGTGATCAAATTTTAGGTCGCCCAATTTCACATTCAAACTCAATATTTGGACAATATTTGGACAATATTTTACAAAAGTGAACCTAGAATCAAAGCATCAAAATCAAGTATCAAAACACGATTCTGTGACCAGCGCAACCGACCCATTATTCACTGTGATCAGCCCGCAAGTAGAATATGTTAACATTTTTAAGGGTAAACGGCAACTCTGTGACTCCTCGTGACCTGCTCATAATGAAGGTTCTTAGCGCGTCAGAAGGATGCAAATTCGATCTGCGAAAGTACATCATTATAACCAGCACTGGCGCGTGATTGTTGCAGGATGCGTCTCTCGGCTCTTTTCCAGTTAGACGTACTCAAAACCTTGCAAACTCCTTTTTATACATATACAGGGGTCAATTAAGCATGAGACGCGTATTGGTTATGCGTGAGGAAAACGTGCATCTAGATTTGCAATGTTAAACATTTTGCTTATTATTCATCTTTGTGAATGAAGACAAATCATTCTGATTCGCTTCGAGGTTTCGTTAGAGTCTTACCAAAAGCTTCAAAATTTGACGAGGACTCAGGTGGGTCCTAAAGATAGCTTAAAATATCATTGGGGGAATAAAATATAGCCAAAATTTTACACTGGAAAAAAAAACACATTGGATCTAGAGTCCAGACTCTTGAAACATTGACAAGAAAAAGAACTCTTAATTCAATCAGATTTAAGCTTAAATCAAAAGGATTTCCGCTCAAATTAAGAGGCTTGGTTCTTGATTTAAGCTTGGATCTGATTGAATCAAGAGTATTTTTTCTTGTCGATGTTTTTAAGAGTCTGGACTTTAGATGTAACGTGTTTTTTCCAGTTTAAAACGATAGTAGCTGAAACGTTAGCTTGCAGAAATGATCAAATGAGCAGATTTAAAAGTAATCATTGAGGATTTTTGAGCTCACTTTAAATTATTCACGTATTGCAATGATCTAAGCTCCTCTTTCAACGGATTTTTTTTTTTTTATGGATCCGCGCTTGCAAATTCGTCAGTATAAAGAAATATACACGTTACTTTAAAATATTCATCATTTAATTTTTCTTAACAATGTGCTATTCGAGATCAATCATCAAATAACTGTACACCAAGTTACAAAGCGCATTTACATCAATACTTACACAGAATATACACGAAGAAACAAAAATGAACAGGAGGAGAAAATATTTTCTACTAAAAATGTACATATTTTAAACGATGAAGTATAATCACAATAATTCAACTAAAGTAATAATTATCGCTAATTTTGATTTTTACATAACGCAAAGTGTAACGGAAGAACCCACCCCCATTGACTGAAGGTTTCATGATCCGAAAATTTGGATGAACTTTCACTTAGTTTCACTCACACGCCTTGTGATATTCTGACTGTTTTCCTTTTTTTCCCTCTTTATTTTCAAAACGAGAACTTTTTTTACTTCTCGCGTATTACACAATCACAGTAAAAATCAATTGACATGATTCTCGTCCAATAATTCATTGCAGTACCCAAATAACTGCGACTAAACAAAGGGTCACATGAGTACAACTTGTGCGTTAATGTTTCATCTGACTCAGTCTCAATGCATGGACGCATGGATTTCTCGTCGAAAAACAGATCTTATAATCTTACGAATAAATCTTGTGAAATAATTCTCGGTCCGTAAAAATTATAGCGAGTTGTCTCTTTTTTAATTGCTTCGTCTTTTGGAGTTGAAAAAAATTGAACCAAAATAGAATCCTTGATTATAAACTATTTCTCATATCAACATATTATACCTTTTCCAGAATTTCTTTGTGAAAGTCATCAAACCATCATAATAACCACAACTTAAGTCGAACCTCCTTAGACATAGCACGCGAAGGTAGAACGTGAATTTTGACCCCAAGTTTCTCAGAGTGAATGGGTTGTGACCAGGCGCAACTTTATCGCGTACGGTTCAGAATCAAGAGCCTAGCCTCGTTCAAAGTAAACAAACATTTTTCTTCACGAAGTTATATGAAGATGTAATTTCCAAATCTTTTTTCCAAGACGAGGTGGCTAGCGACCGGGGAAAGTCGTGGAATGCTGCAACTCGACCGTGAAAACTCAGGGAATTTCCTCAATGGTCAGAGAATTTTTTGTGGAGTCGGGTTTCATTTTAAAATCGGGTCCGTGACGGGCCAACTAGTTGCGTTGTTGTGCCAACGTTTTAACCACGTTAATTATGTGCCCATATCGTTATCGTTAGTAAAAAAGTTAGAGGATTTCATAAGAAAGCAGGGGATGATAAAATGAACTTTCGCTAGCCACCCTGCGAGAGGCCTCCCTCTTATTAAATTCAGGGTGCTCCTGTGAAAACGTTATTAGTGAAGTGTACGAAGTCACTAGATTAAAAAATCGGCAGAGTTTATCTTCCTTTCCAATGATTTGTAGCACTTACGCGAAGCAATCATTTCGCCCGAGCTCATGCTACAGTGAAGATAATTTACCCGAATCGGTCAGTCTGATATGCACATTTGAGCAAGCACATGTGGAAATCATGTTGATCCTCCCAACTGATCCTCTCTGCAGAAAGAGCTCGAGCTCGGTTGAAAGGCTCACTTCGCGGCTTTGCTCAAAATCATACTAAAGTAAGTTGAATACTTCCGATTTTTTCTCCCGTGATCTTAACATGACTTAACCTCCGGACAAATGATAAAGAAGGGGACTCATTTGTCGAAGAATGGGTTATACTCATTTGTCGAAGAATGGGTTATACACAACAGTGTGATCAAGAATTTTGCACGGGTTCATGCAAAAGTTTGATGTAATCAATTACTTATAATTTGTATTGGTCTGAAGGTACAAAGTTCCCGAATCAGATCATGCGGTAGTCCAAGGTCATCCCGTAGCTGACCAGCGGACCGATTATTGAAATTGATAGACAAAGCTGCAGACAAAGAAGACGAAAGGAATATGCAGAGATCCTCTTGGAAGAAGCAGGTGGTCGCAACGGACAAAGGGGGTACGTAGTCGACTAACTAACGGCAACCCGCGATAGTCCCCACAGCTAGTCCACCATTTCCTCCCTTAGTATATAGGAACCATCCTTTTCAACCGATTGGTCGATCTCTTTTGTCTTCTTCGTCTATTGGTTTGTCTATCGAGTTCAATAATCGCCCCACAGCATCTGCGTTCCGCCCTCACTCCGGCTTTAAAGCTCAATAGGGTCGCCAAACGGACGGATCGGCGTGCTGCCTGTCGTTGTAACGAGTGATGACGACATCCTGGGCCTCCTCCTGGATCTGGTTGTGGTGGAGGATGCCGATCTCGATACCGCGGTTCCCGCCGGAGCTGATGGTGAGGTTGTTGCCGCCGACGATGGACGAGACGTCCTCGGCGAACTGCTCGATCGGCTTGTTGATCTCGCTGTGGTGGAGGTGGAGGTGGATCTGGTTCTGGTTCACCGTCGAGTAGAGGTGCGGGTAGAGGACCATGGTCGGCGGAGGGGGCGGAGGCGGGGGTGGCGGCGGATGGGGGTGCGGATGCGGCGCCACGTAGGGCTGGACGGCCGTCGAGCCGCCGTTGCCGCCGTAGTAGTTGGGGTAGTTGTAGCCCTGGGCCGTGGTCCCGTTGTTGGTCCAGTAGGTGGCGCCGCCGGGCGTGGGCGTGCAGTGCGCGCTCGCGTTCTGGTAGTCGCCGCCGTCGTAGCGACTGCCTCCGCCGCCGCTGCCCTGGTACGTGGCCAGCGGGTCGCTCTCCGCGCTCGAGGCGCTCCGGGTCGAGTACATGCTGTACTCGTTGTTGGGGATCGCCGAGTGCTCGGAGAATGCTGCACAACAGAATATCAAACGCGAATTAGTCGTCATGAAATTTTAATATAAATCAAGTTCAGTTTCGGAACCAAGGCCTCATCCGTAAGAGCGCAATTCACTGGTAAAAAAAAACCCCTTGGGTCAAGAGTGCAGTTTCTTGTTGCCGGATTTAAGAGTCTGGACTCTTGTTTCAATGCAAAATCCACTTGAATCAATGCAAAATCCGCTTGAAACAAGAGTTCAAGACTCTTAAATCTTGCGACAAGAAACTGCACTCTTAAGTCAAAATGCACCGCGGCATTGGTCCAAGAGGTTTTTTTTACCAGTGTTTTCCGGAACTTAAGGGTGAAGTTCAAGGAAGTGGGGTTTCGCAGAATGGGTCAGTTGCGCTGGTCACAGAATTGTGTTTTGATGCTTGATTCTTGTAGATGAGCTGAAAATAATAAGATCTGTCTAAACCGCAACTTTCTACGTTCAATATTAACTGAGATATCGCCCCTTGAAGAGTCAGGTTTTTGACGTCATCCACCCTCGCGGCAGAGACACCCTTAGTTTCTTCTACGTTCCCTTCATCAGTCAAAATGACACATATTTCGACAGGTTCATGGCGCATGCAAGGCTCAACGTGAGACTTGGACGAAAGCAAGGTGGATGAAACCAGGGGTGTCACTGTCGCGGTGGATGACGCCAAAAACCCGATTTTTCGAAGGGCGATATCTCCGTTAATTTTGAACATGAAAAGTTGCTGTTTGGATAGATCTTCTAACTTTTGGCTAATCGACAAGAATCAAGCATCAAAACACAATTCTGTGACCAGCGCAACTGACCCATTATGTACCACGACCATGCACAAATGTTGTGCCACCGATCCATTAAAAAATAAACTGTGAATTTACACTGTAAAATAATTTTAAGTTATGTCACTCAAGGTAAATTAAATGAAGAGTTCATTAATAGTGAGTGAATGTACATTTATCCGGCTTTTACCTCAAGCGGGTCCGTAAATATTTTTCTTGGAGGGGGGGGGGAGTCTTAAAGATTACCTGTGGCGGGTACAGACAGGTGTATGCCTTCGTTCGTTACAGCTTGTTGGAACTTCCTATCTTTTTTGGCGACAAGAGCATACATTTTTTCTTCGATGAGAGGCCAGGAGTCGAAAAGCGCATTCTCTTTGTCTGCAAACTTAAACTTGAAATCAATGTCAAACCCCTTAGTTTTTTCACGTTTCTTCTTCATCTCAGTTTCACGTTGAACAACCCTTGCGAATGTGCGTCATGCTGTTTGATAAAAGCAAGGTGGACGAAACCAAAAGTGTTACTACCGCGGTGGATGACTTCAAAACCCCCAATTTACAAAGGGCGATATCTCGGTTATTATTGAACGTAGAAAGTTGTGGTTTAGACAGATCTCATTTGTTTTAGCTGATCTACTAGAATCACGCATCAAAACACGATTCTGTGACCAGCGCAACTGACCCATCAGTGACAGCTGAGTTGTAAAGTATTGTCCTGACGGACCCAGTTTGGACGAATTAGTTTCACAAACCTCGGTACCCAGCAAGTAATAGCTAAGCTCTAAGCAGGAACTGCACTAGGAACTTAGAACCTAGCTATACCTTGTTTCTTAAAGCACCCAATTCGTAGATCTAACTCGCCCATTTGCGCTCATATGGGCAAAGCTTACTTAGTTCCGGGAAGAAGGGAAGAGTTTCGCGAACCGCGATCGTGTGGACGTGGCCCACTAGACTCGCATTTTTGCGGGAATCAAGATTTCCGAGATCATTACAGTAGCAAGTAAGGAGGAGGTATGAAGGAGGTCGTATTTTGAATTATTTTATCCGTTTTATTTCAATTGCCCCTTAGGGGATTAACTCACTCTTGCAGTCCCTAAAGTCCCATTCTTCCTACACAAACAAGCGAAACAAGCTAGCCTCAGGTAGTGACAGTTCTGAAATACCGCGAGACTTATATTTTTTTATTTATTTAGTTTCAGCATGAATACGTTAATTTTCAATATATGTATGCCTACAGCTGCTGAAAGTGATCTGGATCCAAGTGCAAAAGCAACCGATTCAATAAAATAAAAAAACAAAATTAAAAATCTGTGGGGAAATGATTAACGAATCAATTGGCAGAATAAAATCATTAGCGTTTCATAATTAGGTACGGAAGCCAACTCGTCATCATTATAATGTCACATCATGCCGAGCACTACTTTGAATGCGGGTTCGACACCTCGGTTAACTCAACGGTCTGATTTCCTCTCTCTTAATTGCAGATGACGGAGTAATTACAATACGATCTGAATCGGAGAGTGCGAAGGCAATGAAGGGAAGGAAATAATCTAAGATCGAGGTTCTTCGATTATCTAATTATGTCATGTCTCGATAATTTCCTCAATAGAGCAATAAAAAATGGTATCGCATCAGTTTCAATTATGAAGATAAAACTTCTTGTGTTTTCAAAAGTTCCTATTTACGGTTTTCTTAAACATTATCTTTTGTTGTCGGGGCTTTTAACGTGTAAACATGCGGCTATCAAATGGAAATAAAAAGGGATTCCGATTTCTAATTAAACATGAACCCTAAGAAATCTGAAGGTAATCATGCTTCACTAGTTGCGCTGTGAGCACTATTAGATATTCTATAGGTTGTTCGGCGATGACTTATTCGGGATTAAGAATAGTGTAACAGAAATCACTAACATCCCTTTTTTTCAGTGTGCTCTCACGAGTGTTACTCTGATTTCCGTGGTTACTAACTCTTTCTCCGGTTTTAATTTGTATTATAACGTGCTTGTTTTGATATTTTCTTGGAATATAATATTTGAAATATTGCGAATATTTAGTATTTTCTCAGTATAATACGCAATGGTTTGTTGTCCGATTTACAATTTTTCTTAAAGACTTCTTTTTGAAGGTTCGTTTTTTATCCCTGTTTCTATCCACGATATTTCTGCCTAAGCTCATTCTCTGTGAGAAAATGCCTAACAGGCGAGTTCTTTAATACTAACTAAGCAAAATACGTAAGGGATAACCATCGGATAAGTCTCACAATTTTTTTTATTACATATTGTCTCCCTCTTCTTTGCAGAGTTCCGTTTTTCAAGATTCTTAAACTTCTTTACGAGCCTTCGTAACGTAAAAACAGCTAAATTTGAAGAGTTTTGTTTGATCTTATCTGGTGCGGAAACTTACCAGGAACATGAGTATTTACAGGCGATTCGAAAGTGGGCGGCTCGGTGCCGTGGTAATTGGGAAGGTAGCCCGTCGGTGAGGTGGAGTAACCGGCATTGTATGGACCCCAAGAAGATTCGCCCCCGATCACCATTGCACTCTCTGAAATCAAAAAAATTAATAAAACATTTCAGGACAATACGTAGCGTTGAAGAATACCAGAAAAAACAGCAAGAGATGTATCTTGCGGAACAACAGAGCGTGACCTCTACTGCGAAGCTTAGCTCCTCCGAATGAAAACCATCAACCGAATAGGCAACTTGGCAACTACTACCGCATACAGGATTTTTTGTGGTATACCTCGAACAATGAAAGCGCAGCGCACTTGTTCCAAAATTAATGTACCAGTCCGCTCAGATCTACGTCTGCGGATCTTGACTTTTCCACCAGGAAACATGACTTGTATCGGAAGCAACAATATTTTACCATCATGTATCAACTGTCGATATCGGATGTAACTTTCGATGGCTCGGAATTGACGATACGTTCCTCTATTTAATCGATATACGTACTAATTGTCACGACCACGACCCAAAACGGTGGTGAGAATTAAGTGAACAACCGATCACACATGCCTGCATCTCTACGGTAAAATGTTCCTTAGCTAGCCCCTTAACTGATAACTTCTCATGGTGCACAACACTGAAAAAAAAAGTTCTGTTCACAGGGCCCCTGCACTTATTTTGTAACAGTCACAGAAGCTTCTGTTATGAAGACAGAGTACGAGGTCTGTTAGATTAGAAACCGGATTTTGGTCATAACTAGCCCACAATGCGTCCGAATTAGGTTTTCTTGAGCTTTTCTGATAGCTGGAAATATACTTTAGAACGCTACGTTCACGGATTTTGTTTATTCTGATTAGTGTTTATTCTGTGTCATCTTGAATACGAGTAAGTCAGGTGCGTTTTGCGATTTTCATCATAAGATCACTGATAGAGCAAAGATTCAACATTAAATTATGCTTTAAACTCGGTATACCTTATACCGAAACTTTTGGTATATGCTAAGTAAATGTTTACTATGATCATTGTATGAGATGTTTCCACTGTTTTGAATGGGTTAAACGATTCAAAACTGGTCAGGAGTTCGTCAAAGATGAGGAGCATGGGAATCGACCCTCAACGGCAACTGACATTTGTCACGTGAAAGAAGTTCGGGCAAAAAAGCTTGGAAATGGTCGTTTCGAGCTTGTTGAACAGAGTCTAATTTCTGAAGGTTCTGTACATACAATTTTGATAGAATATGTAGACACGCACCGAGTTTCAGGTACATTTGCCCCTTGATTGTTGTCCGTTGAACGAAAATCCAACCAAATGTCAATTTCCCTTTAGCTGCTTGAACGTTCTAACAATGATCCTACATTTTTGGATAGGATAATTTTCGATGACAATACTTTAGTGTACGGCTACGATATGGAGATGAAACTCCAATCGTCCTTGTGGGTTGAAAAATGTAGTGCAAGACCGAAAAAAAAGAGACAAGTTCGGTCAAACATAAAAATCGCAAAACACCCTTGAGGTTGCCTTACTTCAAGCCACATACCAACGAAGCTGATTTGGCTTTTTCAAATTTGTGAACGTAGCGTTCTTAAATATATTTTCAGCTATCAGAAAAGCTCAAGAAAACGTAATTTGGACGCAATGTGGGCTAGTTATGACCAAAATCCGGTTTCTAATCTAACAGACCTCGTACTCTGTTCCCACGACCGAAGTTCTGTTCTCACAACAGAAAAATTCTTTAAGTGTAACAATGAAACTGCAGGAGCCCTGTGAACAAAAGGTTCTGTCGTCAGCACCATCTTGTTTAGTATGCGCCGTCTGTGGGTCGCATCGGAAAATAGATGGTTTGGGGTGAAGTAGTGGACGCTAAATTTTTCCTGACTATTCGTTTCTTGGGGTTCCACCATGCGAACTACTGAAAATGATACCACAGTACGGCATTCACCATACCATGTCCGCACTTTGATCGCGTCAAGGGAGTTTAAACTCGACTTCGTACTAGCATTGCACTACTCGCATATTGCTGAGAAATAGTCTAACGCCGACGCCTACACAGGTAAAATATCAGGTTTGCATAATTGCCTCCCCTAATTTGTTGTGTAGGTGCTCTTGATTGTGTGAAGCTTTCCGGAGCCTGTTTCATCCCCGAACGGCGGCGGTGTGTTTGTGTCACGCGTGCAGAGAGGTTCCCACTCTTTTTTTTTTGGAGTGAGCTCCGATATCACAGAGCGGAATAGACATCTTAGCTCTGCTCTTACACGCTCGGCTAGGGAGAGGGAGGGTTAGTATATTTCACTCCTCTTTAATGTTTCCCATTTTTGCAGCCAACGCCACATTCTGGAGTAAAAAAAAAACTTAATTTTCCCGAAACGACAATATAAAATACACAACTTAAAATGGGACTAAGGCCACAAAATTTTTTGAAACATTCAATGCAAGGCCGGGACGAATCGCAGAGCGTAATTTCAACCGAAAAATATACAAAAAAAAATTAAACTTACCGTTACGCTGTTCTAAGGAGACTCTGCAATAACAGCGGTGCAGAGGCTCGGAAGATTTGAGTTTTAGTTTTAATATTTCTGTTTATTTCCGGTTGTTGCAAAACGTCTCGACCTTTTATGTCTCATTAAATTGTGCGGCCTCAGTCCTATTTTAAGTTGTTGACTTTGTATTCTGGAGTGTAATCATTGTATCTTTGGCAAGAACGTAGTCGTGAGGGCGGGAGAAGGCCTCGCCGGAGAGCGGACGCAGCAGCGCTGACCGTTGAGGCGGACGACAGATTTCAGAATGAAAAACGCGGAGTGGCGCGGCGCGGGCACTTTCATTCATAAAACTTGACCAGATGAAAGACGGAGGAAACGTAAAAAGAAGGCGGGCAGGAGTTTATTACTGAGCAAATAGCCACTGGGCCGCCGGGGAAGGGTGGGGCGGCGGAGCCCGGGAGGGGGCGGCGCGGCGGTAAGGTTACCGGCACTTCGGGAGACCCGTCGTCTGTTTATTCCCGACTCGGCGTCTAATTACAGGGGATACCACACCGGCCAACTACGATTTCTGCCCGGCGGACCCCTCCGGTCGCCGTCCCGCTCGGAGGTGAATCTGCGTCCGTCGCGCCGGCTGGGAAGTCGGCCGATTTTTAGCATCGCCCGCCGACAGGGCTCGGGGTTGGCTCTCCATTCACAATCCCAATCGGCGCGCTCTACAGTGGATCGAGTCAACGGGGAAGGTCGGACAGAATTCGGAAACTTTAAAAAGCTCATAACTCCGTTCACTGGAAAAAAAACGCATTGGACCTAGAGTCCAGACTCTTGAAAACATTGACAAGAAAAAGGACTCCTGATTCAATCAGATCGAGGCTTGATTCAAAAGGAAATCCGCTCAAATTAAGATGCTTGGTTCTTGATTTAAGCTTAAATCTGATTGAATCATGAGTATTTTTACTTGTCGATGTTTTTAAGAGTCTGGACTCTGTGTGTTTTTTAGTGTATTTTCCGAAGGAAATACACTATTTTTCTTTTTTTTTTTTCTCAGTGTTCATACAAAACTTTGAGATTTTAAAAGTGGCGCCATTGGTTTCTTCGTGAAGTTTTCCTCCAGAAGCACCCCTCAAAACTTAAAATATTACGAATTGAATATCAAAATTTGCAGTTTTGGTCGAAAATTCCGTGTTCGACCTCCCTGGTTCACTCGATCCACTGTGCGCCCCGGCTCAATGAAGAACGGATCTCTGGGCCCTCGGTGCCATCTACTTACTCTCTCTCATTTTGCATCAAGCAACCTACGGGCTGATTATTGAAATTAAGACACGAAACGATAGACAAAGACGACACAGCTGCCGTTCACAGCAAAAACGTCGTAACTCCACTCAAAAAGTTGTATTTTGTTCCAGCACGTATACTGTTCCATTACAAGAAAATGCAATCGCCATATTAGGCCTCATTCTTTCATTTTTAGTTCCGAATAGTATGGCAGAGGTGTATCGAAAAAATGAAGGATGAATATTTGTCAGGTTCTTTGTTAAACAACATTTTGTCCAAAAAGAATTGGAGGTACGACGTTGTTACTTCGGACGGCAGACAGGGGGTATGGAGCGAATCTATCGGTTGAATTGGGTGGCTCCTATGGACAAATGGAGAAAATAATGGTCAACCTATAGGATCTCTCGTAGGTTGCCGTTCGTTACTATATTGCCTACCTCCTTTGTCCATTGTAACCACCCTCCTCCATCAAAAGGATTCCTCCATGTCCCTTTTGTCTTCTTTGTCTATAGCTTTGTCCATTAATTTCAATAATCGAATCCCTGTGCCTAATTGCCCGGTTGCACTTGTCACGGAAAAACGGAACATCCGGTACCCGGAAGATGCAGTATGGCGATTTGAAATGGTGAATTTGTCTTTTGATAAGAGAGATAACGCAATAGCCCGAACTCAGAGCGATAAGTGTAAGGAATACACAAAAAGTGGGTTTACAAGGCCAAACAAAGAGAAAAAGACACATCTAGGATGCCATCGATCTATGGTCAATTCTCAAATGGAGCAATAGCAATTTAATAACTAGAACAAGAAACTGAGCGATGATCATGCAATCGACAGAGGTGGGAATCAGTGCGGACTCTTTCTGAAAGCATCTTAGTTTGTAAATATCGCGTCATAGATCTGTGTACTTGAAACTGTGTACAACTGTACAAATTTTGTCACAAAACTGTGTACAAATACTTGACCGAAATATACGTCACACTGGAAGAAAGTACAAATTGCTGCACCCGCACTCTTTCGCCAGCGCCGCTTCGTTCGGCAGATAACAGATTTCGCCCGCCAAACCAAGCATATGCAACCCGGCCCACCCCGGAGTTAAAATAGTTGTATGTTGGGTTCGAACCCAACTTCGAACATTCTCCCATTGTTTTGCGCTCTGCACATTATTCGAATGTCGTGTTTTTTTTTCCATTTTGAAAGGGGATCCTACCTACCTATAGATTATGTCGCGAGATTTTGTCTGCATGTGTTATTTTTCTTTGTAAATTGAGGATGTTGAGGAATAATCTGAACTTAATCTTGCATTTTGTTGTGCCATCATCCTTCCAAAATCTGTACACCTATTTGCGTA